TATATATATATATATATATATATTCCTCATGACACCCATTGCAAAGTCGGTACAATTTTCATTTCATAGATAAGGAAACACATTTAGAGAAGGTGAGTAACCAGCCTAGAATTAGGGTCAGTGGCAGGGCCAGGGCTCATGCCATGTTTGTTGAATCTAAGACTCTGCCTCTCCAAATTGTATATCTTTACTTTGAAATTGTTTGATGACTATTAAGAAAAATGGTGAAAAGAAGCTTAAATATAAAGTATAAAACAATAAACATCTTTCAGCAGCCATTCTCAAGAGCTCGAGTTTATGCTCAGATATACTGTTTTTGTCACCCAAACCAAACCGAGAGTAAAATTCTTGTTTTTAACAGAATTTACTGTGGTCTTGAGGTTCTAATCCTAGTATTGTCACTAGCAAACTGTTGCTGAGTCCTTGTTTCATCATCTCTTAAATGAAAAATTTTTAAAGATCTTTTTTTGTTCTTTTTTAAAATGTTTATTTATTTTTGAGAGAGAGAAGAGAGATAGAGTAGAAGCGGGAGAGGGGCAGAGAGAGAGGGAGACATGGAATCCGAAGCAGGCTCCAGGCCCTGAGATGTCAGCACAGAGCCCGATGCGGGGCTCAATCCCACATACTGCAAGATCATGACCTGAGCCGAAGTCAGACGCTTAACTGACTGAGCCATCCAAGCACCCCTAAAGATTTTTTTAAATGTTTATTGAGAGAGAGAGAGAGAGAGACAGAGACAGAGACAGAGGATCTCAAGCAGAATGTATGCCCAGGACAGAGCCCGATTTGGGGCTTCATCCCACAACCCTAGGATCATGACCTGAGCTGAAATCAAGAGCTGGATGCTCGACCAACTAAGCCACCTAGGTGCCCCTCTTAAATGAAATTTTGAGTTACTGAATTATAGATCCTTTCCCCCTCTAAAATTCTTTTCCTCCTGTTGGTCTAAAGGCATCTCAGCAAGCTGTTGCTGCCATCCAGCGGAGGAAATATTGTTGCAGGCCCAGAGAAGGCATTATAGCAGTGTTAGACTGTGGTGACAGTAATAGGTAGCACTTATGGAGTATCTACTTTGTGCCAGGCACTTCCTTGGGCATATCCTATATGTATTTCTATTCTGCATCATAGGTATTAACCCATGTTTTAAACTGAGAAATCAGAGTTTAAAGAATTTAAGTAACTTGGGGCACCTGGGTAGCTCAGTTGGTTAAGCATCCGACTTCGGCTCAGGTCATGATCTCACATTCTGTGCGTTCAAGCCCCGTGTCAAGCTCTGTGCTGACAGCTTGGAGCCTGGAGCCTGCTTCAGATTCTGTGTCTCCCTCTCTCTGACCCTCCCCTGCTCACGCTCTGTCTTTCCCTGTCTCAAAAATAAATAAACATTTTAAAAAATTAAAAAAAAAAAAAAAGAATTTAAGTAACCTGTCCCAGGTCACTCAACTTGTAATGAGTAACTGAATTGTTTTGAGTCTGATTTTTTTCTGCAATGACAAGAACTCAAATAGAAGCATCTTGCATAAGGAGGCAATGTTTTTGCAAATCCATCCTTTCAGCCAGAGCACAGAATAGGCTGTGTTCCACTCTTCCCAGGAGGACCCTGGACCTAGGGGTCAGCCCATAGTTCCATGTGCACCTCATAAGCTAGTTAAAGCTGTTACTACTCTAGCATAAAAATTATTTGTTGAGTGTGATAAAAGGCAGAGTCCCATATCCACAGACTCAGATTCAAGGTCTGGAGTTGGGCCCAGGAATCCACATTTTATTATTTTGTTTTATTTTTAGATTTAATTGTTAATTTTTTTGAGAGAGAGAAAGAGAGAGAGAGAGAGAGAGAGGGAGAGAGAGAGCACAAGCAGGGGAGGGACAGAGAGAGAGGGAGACACAGAATCTGAAGCAGGCTCCAGGCTCTGAGCTGTCAGCACAGAGCCCAACGCAGGACTCGAACCCATGAACTGTGAGTTCATGACCTGAGCTGAAGTTGCATGCTTAACCGACAGCCACCCAGGTGCCCCAATTTTATTTTTTAAAGTTTATTTATTTTGGGGTGCCTTGGGTTACTGTCTTGTTTAGCTAATTACCGTTGCCCTTGCTGAGCAGAATCTTTGGTGATAGACCACCTCTAGCCCTTGGCCAGACTGTGAGTCAAGGCCCAGCCCAGTCCAATGATTTTACCTGCACAAAAAATACAGCCTAATACTGAGTAGGGGGCTGTAAGTGAGGCTGTGTGAGCTGGAAAGGGAAGCTGGACGTCATGATTAGCATAGTGGGTATACCATGAAATACCTTTTATACTAATGAAATAGTATAAAATGTGGGGTGCAGACCTGAGACCATTCACCATTCACCATTAGGTAGTGGGAGATCAGAAGAGAGAAGTGGAAAGCTGTGCCCTCAGTGAGGTTCTCCACTCCCTGTGGTAGTGTCTGAGTGGGCACTTAGGTCGCCTGCAATCACTCCTACTGCACACCTGCAGACTCCTAGATGGCACTGATTCTCACTCTCTCTGAAATAACATGACAGTAACCCCTACAGGAGGAAGGAGGGGGGGAAGTGCTCCATGCATATTAACTGAAAAACAACAGCAAAAAAGCACTTCCACACAGTCACTGATTCTCAAAACTATTTGGGTAGTGTTTTGTTGTTGTTGTTGTTGTTGTTTAACCTTCAGCCTCATTTCACATATGAGGAAGCTAAAGTTCAGTGATGTTAAGGGACTTGTTAGAGACCAAAGAGCTAGTCAGTGGTGGAGTGAGAAGTCTGAAAGCAAAAATCTTGTAAATCCTTTTCCTCTCCCTCATAACTGCTGCTATAACTCAGATATTCATACTTCTAACCTCCCAACAGATCTTCCTGCCACAGGTTTTACCTCCACTCTATCTTCCACCCCACTACCAAAGTTACCTTTCCAGAATGCAAATCTGGTCTTCTCTGATTATTGCATGCAAGACAAAGGTCCGATTCTCATGGTTTTCACAGCCCTCTGCGAAGTGGCCCTCCTGATTTGCTCTTCCAGTCTCATCTCCATCCATCCTATTCCTTTCATGTCAGTTCTTTCAGGTTCTTCAAAACATTGTGCTTCCCCACCCCACCCCCACCCCGTGTTTAACATGCCATTGTTTCTCTTCCATGATCCAGTTAGCTTTTTTCCAGCTAGCTGCATATGTCTGTAAGTTTATGTAACTGGCTCATACAATGAAGAGAATGCATAGCAAATTTATAGTTTAGAAAATGATAATAAAAGGCTATCATGCTCCCGCCATCCAGTTAACATTTCCATAACCCCCTATGAGAGATAGTGTTCTTTTATGCCTCCATACCTCTGCACATGCTAGAATGCCTTAGTCTGCATGGTGAACTCATCATTTGGAACCTCAGGTCAGCTCTACCTCCTCTAGAAAGCCTCCACTGAGTCCCTTGAGAGAGACTTAATGCTTCCATTATGCCTCCATTATGTCATTCCTAACAGTATTATATTTGCTTACATGTTTGTCTCCCCAGTAGATTGAAGATTCCAAGTATTACTTAATCTCTGAATCTCCAGCAAGCAGCATAAAGGCTGGTAACACTGTAAGCATTCAGTAAATAGAATGGATGTCCATACAATCTGGTTTGCCTAGGAGAGTCCTGGTTTATGCTTGTTGTCCAAGAGTGATTTTTCTAAGTGCTTCCTTTACTCACGAATGTGTCTAATGTAAATGACCAATTATATAATCACCCTGTCAATACATGTGAAATGGATGAATTAATGAATGGAAGATTTTCAGGAAGAGCCAATATGTAAAGATTTTCAAAAATTCAACAGCTGGCCACTGTATCTCCTTCCTGTTTGAGAAGTGCTTGACTTTCTTGGAGACAGAGATGAATTTGTACAGACCAGATGCTCAATAACCTATATTGCACAATTAAGTTGAAAAATGTTAGCATATTCCTACTTTAAGAAAACCTAGATGTAAAATATGAATTTATACTATAAATCCATGTGACATAGATGATTAAATATTATGTTTACTACATTGTAAAAACTAGAAGGTGTATAAATTTTTATTTTTTTTATTTTTTATTTTTTTAAAAAAATGTTTATTTATTTTTGACAGAGAGAGAGAGAGAGCATGAGCGGGAGAGGGGCAGAGAGAGAGGGAGACACAGAATCCGAAGCAGGCTCCAGGCTCCGAGCTGTCAGCACAGAGCCTGACGCGGGGCTCGAACTCACAGACCGCGAGATCGTGACCTGAGCTGAAGTCGGACGCTCAACCAACTGAGCCACCCAGGCGCCCCGAAGGTGTATAAATTTTTAAGAGCTGACTTTACTGCTTGTTGAAAGTCAGAAATGTAGATTAAATACTGCTGAAATGATAGCATAATCAATGGGGCACACACACACTAGTTGCATTTGCTTTTATGGAAAGATAAAATCTCCTTGAGTTCACATTATAAATAAAATTTTTATTTTAATTAAATTTTATTTAAAGCTTTTTTTGGTTATTCAAATAGAAAAGTAGTCTTTAATTACTGTTAAACAAAAAATGGGAAGTGAGGTAATTCATCTTTTGACAATAATCTTTCCCTCCAACAGTGTCATCTTCTTTGAAAGTCAAGGTAATTCCCTGTAAAGAAGGCTTTTAATAAATTACAAATATGTAGTAGATTCTTGTCCATCTACTTCCTAACTACTTAATGCACTGTTGCATAGCAACAATTTTGTTTTCCTGCTTCTTCTTTGTTGGCAGTGTGAGAGTCTGAAATCTGCACTGGCTTGGTCGAGCTCGGGAATCTTTCTGGTACCAGGGGTGCAGGTATCCATTGTAGAAATCAGTAGCTGTTAGCATTTTCTTGAACATCACTGATCGAACACCAATCCAACCATCCTAAAGAGCAAAAGACAGTGACTAGACAGTGGTGGCAAAACTCTTACATTTTAGTTTATAGAACTTTTATCATGAGAACAAACAAACCTACAAATCTTACCAAATGCCTAGCTGCAGACAGCACTGTACTAAGTAACATACACGTTTCTTTGACTGCATTTATTACTGAGTGATAACAAATGTACAGACCTGAATAAATTAAACCTATTTAAACATAAAGGAAGCAGAATAAAGATGTTATATTTGCATGGTACTTTACAGTTTTTAGAGTATGTCCATATATCTTACTATGACTGGTCATCAAAAATAGAACTGCTCTAAAAGGCAGATCCACTATCATCCCCAGAGGGAACTGATTTTAGAAGAGAAAACCGATGCTCAGAGGTGAGTGATTTGTCCGACGTGACATAACTGGTGGCACTCAAACTCACATATTCAGACAACCCCATCTTCTATGAGAGTAAACTGCAGATTTGCAATACAGATATATAAAGACCCAGACAAGGACAGCAAACATGTGCACCCTACATTGTTCGAGAATAAGTTGAAGAAAGATGAAGAGAGGTTGATGCGGAAGCTCTGTATCTATAGTCTGTGTAGGTCAGATCACTCTACCACTCTTTCATTCATTCATTAATAAGTTTATTATTTATTTATGTTTACTTATTTTGAGAGAGAGCAAGCGAGCGCACAAGTGGAGGAGGGAAGAAAGGGGGAGAGAGAGAATCCCAAGCAGGTTCTGTGCTGTCAGGGCACAGCCCAATGTGGGTCTTGAACTCATAAGCTGTGAGATATGACCTGAGCTGAAACCAAGAGTTGGACACTTAACCAACTGAGCCACCCAGGCGCTCTTATCACACATTTCAAACACAACCTCTTGAGCATGAAACATTGCACATAAACACCATGAAGGAAAATACCAGGAAATGGAAAAAATGTGCAACAGCTCTCAGGCCACTGTCATTAAATAATAATGGTTCTAGGGGCGCCTGGGTGGCGCAGTCGGTTAAGCGTCCGACTTCAGCCAGGTCACGATCTTGCGTTCTGTGAGTTCGAGCCCCGCGTCGGGCTCTGGGCTGATGGCTCAGAGCCTGGAGCCTGTTTCCGATTCTGTGTCTCCCTCTCTCTCTGCCCCTCCCCCGTTCATGCTCTGTCTCTCTCTGTCCCAAAAATAAATAAACGTTGAAAAAAAAAAAAATTAAAATAAATAATAATGGTTCTAAAGTCATTTTATTTTGTTTTACTTCATTTTTTAATGTTTATTTTTGAGAGAGAGAGAGACTGTGAGCAGGGGAAGGGCAGAGAGAGAGAGAAGACACAGAATCCAAAGCAAGCTTCAGGCTCTGAGCTGTGAGCTGTCTGCACAGAGCCCGATGCATGGCTCAAACTCACCAACAGTGAGATCATGACCTGAGCCGAAGTCAGATGCTCAACTGACTGAGCCACCCAGGTGCCCCTCAAGTCATTTTAAATAGTTAAGAAATCCCTTCTTTAACCACTGTTGAACACTAAAAGCAAGTAGGATACCAGCACTGTGGTAGTTCAGCTACATACTTTCATATGTCTGTCTTCTGTGATCATCATATTAGCAAGACAACTTGCTAGTTAAACAAGACTTGTTAGTTTGTTTTTTTAAAGTTTGTTTGTTTGTTTGTTTGTTTAGAGAGAAAAAGAGAGAGAGAGAGAAAACAGAGGAGGGACAGAGAGGATCCCAAGCAGGCTCTGTGCCATCAGCATGGGGCTCAAACTCATGAGCTGTGAGATCATGACCTGAGCCAAAATCAAGAGTTAGTTGCTTAACCAACTGATCCACCCAGGTGCCCCAAGACTTATTAGTTTTTTGTTTTTTAATTTTTTTAATGTTTTATTTATTTTTGAGACAGAGAGAGACAGACCATGAACAGGGGAGGGTCAGAGAGAGAGGGAGACACAGAATCCGAAGCAGGCTCCAGGCTCTGAGCTGTCAGCACAGAGCCCAATGCGGGGCTCGAACTCATGGACCGTAAGATCATGACCTGAGCCGAAGTTGGACGCTCAACCGACTGAGCCACCCAGGCGCCCCAAGACTTGTTAGTTTTAACAAGTTAGTTTACAATGGATTAGTGAGAATATACAAATTTCTTTTAAGAAAGCACTA